GGAGTTGAACAATAGTGGCTTTGTGAGATGTCTTCCTGGAGCTACTGCTCACAGAGACAGGAGATGTATTTGTAATATTGTTAAGCAATCAAAGCAGGAAGGGGAATTTGATGCACTTGTCCATCTTGGAACAAATGATTTGGCTTGTAATACCAGTGGGGTACCTAATGGATCTGTACTTGGACTCAATTTCTTTAATATTTTTATTAGTGATATTGCAGAAGGTCTTGATGGTAAGGTATGTCTTTTTGCTGATACTAAGATATGTAACAGGGTCTCTGTGCATCAGTGTGTTTAATAGAGCATGTATCAGTGTTTATATGTGCTCGTGTATTGGGGTGTGTATGTGTGCATTTACCCCAATGTGAGGGTGCTATGGTATGGGCAATGCAAAGGTAAAGTGGCAAGCAACATATATATTATATACATACATATACAATACATGGGGAAACACATATGTGATAATATATATTTAAAGGACTATAGAATAAGTGGGGAAATTATTTTTAAAAAGCCCAACCAAACTTTTCATTTTTGTTTCAAATAACCCGTTCAAACAGGCACTTCAGCAAACACCACTGCAAGGCTATACAACCCAGAGCCGAACTGGGGATACAAAGCAGCCCTGGAAAAAAAATCTATGCCAGTCCCATAAGTCATTGCGCCAAATATTGTCACATGTAATATGTAAGGCTATATCTTGCCACCCACATGATTGAGTAATATATAAACATATATATATATAAACAGGGTGCAGCCTAATGAGACCGGGGTTAGAATATGACATCATATTCCAGCGTCGGTCTCATTAAGAAGCGTGTGAGGGCGGGCCAGCAGAGCAGAGATGGCACATGTCTCCGTCCGGCCACCAGCAACCTAATTGCGGCCACACCAACTGTCTGCCTGGCCCCAGATGTTGCGGCCCATTTCCCGGTATCCTGGTGGGCCAGTATGGCCCTGATACAACTGTATCCCGAAATCGTGCATAAACAACTAGCATAATTGCAAATTAAATTTCCAATTTTTAAATTATGCAATAACTACAGTTAGAGAGCTCAAAATACAGTGGCACAGCGAGTAATGACCTTGCAAGCCTATGAACAATAATTACTCTATATCCATCTCTGCAAGCCAGCCCTTCAATAAAACTATAACTCCTTATACACACCCAATGCAACCTCTATTCATTTCTTTCGCTAATTGTGTTAGGGGGGACTATTGTTTGAGTTTCGCCTAAGGCCTCACAAAGTCTAGAGTCTCCACTGTATGTATATATATATATATATATATATATATATATATACACACATCAGTTTTAAATTAGAAAGGAACAATGATCTCACAAGTACTCAAGCTCCAGCGTATCTATTTGATTATTTTTTTTGCTGAATGTAATTTTATATTTCAATACAGTTTTGCATGAGGAAGTTTAAACTTTACTTTCTACTGCATATCTCAGAGTGCTATTTGTTTGAAATTGGAGTGAACAATTCTTGTTTTAAGCTTCCTGAATTCAGCCATGTGATCTTAGGTACTGCATAAGCATGCCATACTTCACCAGTTAAATTACTTGAAGTTTTGATATATACTCTGTGGCCAGGTACGTCATCCTTCACTGGTCTAATAACATGTAGGATTGATTTATTCACTGCCTTTAGGTTAGATAGTCATCTGTAAAATATCATATATTACTTTTGTGAATTGACTGTGCTTTATTGTCTTCACACAGTAATATGTTTTCTTTTTGATATCTGTCTGTCTCTTTCTAGCTCTCTCTACCTAATAACATTGAATAGGTGATAGATCAAGTAGATTTTCAGGTATAAATTATTCATATGTTTGGTGTTTATCAAACACCATGCTTTGTAGTTATCACTGGTATAGCTATTTTTGCATTTTTTTTTGCTTGAAATCTTGGTCATGGGTTATAATGTTGTATATGAATCACACTTTTCAGATGGTAACACAACAAGAACTATTAAAATACACTGAACAAAATTATAAATGCAACACTTTTGTTTTTGCCCCCATTTTTCATGAGCTGAACTCAAAGATCTAAGACTTTTTCTATGTACACAAAAGGCATATTTCTCTCAAATACTGTTCACAAATCTGTCTAAATCTGTGTTAGTAAGCATTTCTCCTTTGCCGAGATAATCCATCCACCTCACAGATGTGACATATCAAGATGCTGATTAGACAGCATGATTATCGCAAAGGTATGCCTTAGACTGGCCACAATAAAAGGCCACTCTAAAATGTGCAGTTTTATCACACAGTACAATGCCACAGATGTCGCAAGTCTTGAGGGAGCGTACAATTGGCATGGTGACTGCAGGAATGTCCACCAGAGCTGTTGCCTGTGAATTGAATGCTCATTTCTCTACCATAAGTCATCTCCAAAGGCGTTTCTGAGAATTTGGCGGTACATCCAACCGGCCTCACAACTGCAGACTACGTGTAACTACACCAGCCCAGGACCTCCACATCCAGCATCTTTACTTCCAAGATCGTCTGGGACCAACCACCTGGACAGCTGCTGTGAGAATCAGTTTGCATAACCAAAGAATTTCTGCAGAAACTGTCAGAAACCACCTCAGGGAAGCTCATCTGCATGCTCATCTTCCTCATTGGGGTCTCGACCTGACTGCTGTTCATCATCGTAATCGATTTGAGTGGGCAAATGCTCACATTCAATGGTGTCTGGCACTTTGGAGAGGTGTTCTCTTCACGGATGCATCCCAGTTTTCACTGTACAGGGCATATGGTAGACAGTGTGTATGGCATTGTGTGGGTGAGCGGTTTGCTGATGTCAACATTTTAGATCGAGTGGCCATGGAAGCAGTGGGGTTATGGTATGGGCAGGCATGTGTTATGGACAATGAACACAGGTGCATTTTATTGATGACATTTTGAATGCACAGAGATACCGTGATGAGATCCTGAGGCCCATTGTTGTGTGATTCAGCCACGACCATCACCTCATGTTGCAGCATGATAATGCACGGCCCAATGTTGCAAGGATCTGTACATAATTCCTGGAAGCTGAAAACATCCCAGTTCTTCCATGGCCAGCATACTCACCAGACATAAAATAATAAAAATAATAATAATATTAATACTATATAGGATAAAGGCAAGTAGTTGGTACTGTGTTTAAGTTATTTATAGTTTACTGTAGCATGTTGGTTTTAGCCAATCCAATAGAAAGAGAAAGATGAATACTTGTACTTTTTCCTTTCAGGAGAACTGGGAACTTTGAATGTTCTACACCAACTATTGTAGGTGGAGAACCTACTCAGATCTCAGCAACTTGGTTCTTGCTTTATATAGCTCAGGCATACACATCCACTTTATTTAAGCACCAACAAATGGTCCCTTTCAGTGCCTCCACCCCTGGGTAGTGGGTGAAATATAACTTAAAGGGACATGCATCACTTGACAATTATTTATTTAAACCCAGAAACACTTGTTTTTTTTTTGCTGTGCATGGAAAGATACAGGTTAGCTTGTTATGCCACAACAGGAAGACCAGGCAAGACGTGTTACATGACAAAACAGTGAAATGGAATTTGACAATCCTGCACAATTTTTAATATAAAAGAGTCAAGCTAGGCAAACATGTCTAAATCTCTGAATATGTGCTGCAGTTAAGATAATCAAAACATGGTTGGAACTGCCTAAGTAAGAGATGTTGTTTAACGTGCTAGGCTAACAAGATAGGAAAAGGACCACTGGAGCTGAGTAGACCACTGTAATCCTACATCAATCTGTGTGAGAATAAATGGAGGAAATAGTTAGGAAAACAAAATGGCTTCAGTGTACATCAAAGAAGTTTGGATCTATTGCAGCTAGTATTAAGCTAGAGGCTGCTGTATCTTGTAGTACCCTTGCTGTATTAGCTGTAATTGTCTCTGTGATTACATAGATTGCCCTGATAGTGTCACTTAAAACTTAAAATCAGTTGAAAAGTAAAACAACAGGTCGGAATAAAACAAAATAATAAAGATCAATAGGCTCTTTCAGGTGTCACAGGGACTCAGCTGGGAGTAGAACTTTCCTTTCAAGGCTTGATAGTCAGCCAACTTCAATGCTTGGCAAGCTTGTTAGTTGTTTGGAAAGTTCACTGGGTAGATCCATGTTGCGGCATGGAATCATAGCTCCACTCCGGCCCCAGGGTCATCTGTTGCTGCCAGAGGATACAATGGCTACCACAGTCCATATCTCTCCAAGGTGGGAGTAAATGGTGGACCCGACGCTGGACTCACTGTGTGGTCTTCCGCTTAGGTAGGTGGTGTGACTTCACCTCACAGAATCTTAGTAAAGCATGGGCAGTTGGTGAGGAGCCCTGAGCCGCTGCCATCTTGGTTTTCAGTGTCACGTAGTCGCTTCACATCTCTAGCTCTCCTCAGTGGGGACCGGAATGAACCCCAAGCCCAAAAGGGAGCGGGGGTGGGACTGGCAAGCATTTCAGTAAGCCAGCATGTGGTAGCTGGGATGGAAGGCAGGTCAGTGGCCGTCCACCCCGCTCTCTTCCCGAGCAGGTCCCCAAAGCTTCGTGCTTCCCTCAGGGGACCCAAAACTCCCAATCTCGGAGTCTGTTACCTCTTCCACAGCCGTGTGGATATCTTGTGGGCTCATTTCAAGTGCATGAGTGGCAAATTCTAGCTTGAAAGGTCAGATTCCTCTGGAGCCTCTCCTGGATGCAACCGATCAGCATGGCAGTCCGACCTCCCCTTCCTCTCCCCCCCACAAACACTTTTAAACAAATATACAAACCAAGCAAGATAAACTTTGAAAAGTATCTAGTAAACTTTTTAAAATCACTATAAATCTGGTTAGGTTGCATAGCTGGACATGCCTATAAGGGGAGTTTCTTCAGCCAACCCCTCCTCTTATCCACACATTTCATTTTCTGACCAGTCCACAAATGAGAGAAAAAATACATCTCTGTGCAGCATGGATTTCTTGAGAGACAGACCTGCTGTCTGCCAGGGTTCAGCAGATTCTGCAGGAGAGGGCAGGGCAGGAACCTCACTTCCTGCCCTGCCCTCTCCTGCAGAATCTGCTGAACCCTGGCAGACAGCAGGTCTGTCTCTCAAGAAATCCATAGGTGGGGATAATTCCACCAGAGCTGTGTCAATAGAGCAGTATTTCCTGCTCTACACTTGTGAGTAAACGGACGGACTGACTCATCTCTCCAGTATATCCTTTAGCGGGAATCATACCGCTAAATGCCCTCCTTCCTAGAGTTGGCCTAAGCTCCGCCAAATGTGAGTGTATTATCCTCCTTTTTATTTATTATACCTTTGGATCTACAATATTTCACCATACTGAGGATTGTACACAAAACCTATCCAAATATAAGTGACACGTTCTATTATTTTATTGAATATTTATACTACTTGGATGGACTTTATTTCTATTTTTTTTTTTCTGTTGTTTCAATAGAGACTATCTTACTTATTATTGTTGTCTATCTATTCAGACTATTAGGTCTGATATGTACGATACCAATTTCTATACTTTAGCGCAGCCCTTACCCCCTCCTTTTCTTCCATCTTATAAAGGGTTTTGAGGAATACCCTTTTTAGGGTTGCTGCTTACACCTTTGTTGCTTAGTGCAGACTCTTCCACCTTGTTTTTTACCCCCCTAGAGTGTGCTTGGAAAACATTAAAAATAAGAAGGGATAAATATGAAACAAAAATCACATTTATCTGCTTTTTTCATCCTGCGGAGTGAGGCAACTGTTTCATTCAAATATTTAAACTGTTAAACAATACAATTGTCTCATAATTATATATGTCCCTTTAACTTAACTTCTGACACACTTTTCACACTTTTTGTGAAAGAACTCCAGTATTCTGACTGAGTACCTCCGCCAAGTCTGCTTCCTCACAGATATCATGGTCCCTGGAGTACTTCAGACCCAGTTGCCAAGGCTTGACTCAAGGCCAGACTGGCCCACCGGGGTACTTGGGGCTGCGGAGAGAGCCCTAATACCCTTAGTAATATCATTGGTTAATTTCCCCCTTGGACTGTGAGAGTCTGAGGGAATTATGGAGGGAGAAGCTTGTGCGGCTGCATTGTGGATGGGGTGGCCGGAGGGAGCACTGCAGGGAGGGAGCTTTCTGGCACTCAAGCTTTGCCCCCAACCACAAGCTCCGCCCCCAGCTGCACGCTTCGCCACTGGTCGCCAGCTGGTGACCTTTGGGCAGGAAGAGGCCAAGGAATGGAGTCCTTACCTCCCAGTGCTTCCACATCTGCAGCCTGCAGTGCCAGGTAAGGTTCTATGTTTCTATGTTTCTACCTGTGGTACAATAATCTCACCCACTTCATCCCCACCACCACCAATATAACCACCATCAACATCACTGGCACCACCAACATTCCCATTAGCATTAATCAACCAAGTACTAGTGCACAGGATAGTGTTGCAACAACTTTCACTGCCACCTTTGCAAATCCACCAGTATTCAGCAGATGCAAGGCAAAGGGTAAAAGGTACTATATAGCACCAACAAAGCTAACTTTGGTATCACTTTGAGTGCCTCTAAAAATGCCAAATTTGTGAGGTAAGGAAGTGAGTATAGGGGAGTGGGGAGTCATCTCACAAGTGCCTGCATGAACAAACAGCAGCTCTGTATTTCTGAAGGAAGAAGAACAAGAAAGTACTTGGGTAGGCAACAGGTCCACTAGTGCTGTATCTGATTCTGCATAGTTGTCACCACCTACCATTAGTGGTACCTCTTCCATTACTACCACCACCACCACATATCAGAGGAATGGTGAGGATAGTGCCAATAGTTGACAGTCACTGTTTGTACAGTAAAATTGAGATCCCAAATCACGTTATTAAGAAAAACAAAAAAAAAGCTGCTTTTAGCTGCTCCTTGCACCCACTTTGATGTACCAATTTACTTATTTTTTTTCAATTTGCCAATTTTTTTTGAGTCAGAAGATATGCAGTTTGGTTCACAAAGTTAGAGTGTGTATACAATAGGAACAATGGATATACTTCAATACAACATAAGGATGTTCATCAATAATCAAAACGGCATACATAAGGGTTACATACATGTCAATGTTATAGGTTGCACATTAAGTAACTTTATGTAGAGTGAGGCAGTTTCAAGGGGGTAGGTTTAAACATCAAACATGGTAATGTGGTCCATGTGTTACAATGCCATGTTGTGTGGGCTTGTTAGCTCGGTGTTAGATGATCCCTGATAGCTAAGTAGTTTAGCAACCAGCCTTGCTTGCCTTGGTTGGGGTGTTGTATTGCACGGTGATTCTCCCAGGGTGATACAGAGCGTAAAGATGGCATACTTATCAGACACCTGTGCACCCCCCACCTTTCTATACTCATGGTGATTCTATGGTGAGGTAATTCTCAATACAATTGTTCCCTCTGTATCTCTCTTGACTCTATTTTCTAGTAATAAAATAGAAAAGAATAAGAAAAGGGGATTTAAGAAAGGACAATCTATGTACATTGTGGATAAAACACCAGTATCTCACGTGGATAGAACTGTCACCAGGGATCAAGCTCCCATGTGTGGTGGTCTTAGATCTTATGATGCCTCCTTTGTTTGCCAATTCCATTCCTATCTTTCCACAATATAGGTTTGTTGTATCAAGAAAAAAACAGGTGTGACCCACACTACCATGACTTCAGCACCTCCTATCCCCCCTTCTTAACATCTCTGTGGCTCCTCAAACTCTGCTTCCAGTTTGTAGGCCATGTTCTACTAAAATGTGGTTGTTTTTGGTGGAGGGGATTTTTTTCCCCTCTACTCCATCTCCCCTTTCTAGCATCATAAGTGGTCATGGACTGTGTCTAGGAACACTCGGTATCTGATTGTTCAACAATGTATGTATGCCATAGCGCACAGGCTTCCCATATAAATGTTGTTTTGGTGAGATGTTCTTATGTGCCATGGTTTCATAATCTATGTTTAAGCATTTGCTTCATTAGGGTTGGATGAGTTGATATATCTGTTGGTTTCCATATCCTGGCTAATATAAGGTTTGCCGCAAGAAGGATATGAAAAAGTAGGATAGATACTGACCTTGGAAGGCTATCCAGCTATATAAGTAGGAGGGACAATTCAGGAGTGAGTGTAGTGTGTGTTCCTAATGCCTTAGACCAGGCTTCCCCAAACTCCGGCCCTCCAAATGTTGCTGAACTACAACTCCCATGATTCTATGAATGAAATAGATAGGCTGAGAATCATGGGAGTTGTGGTTCAGCAACATCTGGAGGGCCAGAGTTTGGGGAAGCCTGCCTTAGATGTTATGTATTCCACTAAGTGCCAGAATCCCTTGAGCTTGGTACACATCCACCAAAAGTATGTTTCATTGTGCTTACCCCGTGAACATCTCCAGCATACTTTAGAGGTGTTTGGATATATGCACAATAGCCTTTTAATGGCAGATGTAAGGTTTCTGGCCAAGTTTATCTAATTTCCATTTGCTTAATCTATCTAATAAATACATTTTCCTGCCGTTATTTTTCTATTTATCTATGACTTTATTTCTAAGCCAACATAACAAATTAGACAGAAAGTCTAGTAAATGGCATTTTCACAAAGTCTAACAAACTGAGGGGTTGTTTTCTTTAAAAAAAAATTAAAATAAATAAAAATGATTACTTTTGTATTTTTATTATTTCAGCAACCTTAATGAACATGTACGTAAGCAATATTTTATAAATATGCTATATTTAACTTTGAGCCTATCCCTGAATATAATTGATTACCTTTCATAGTTCATCTAGAGGAAAACTGCTACATTTGGTCCCAAAACTTGCATTACGCATGACTTGGAGTCCCATTAGCAGATTTTAATTCCTCTGTGACTATTTTATACTCTTAAACCATGGAACTTGATTGTTGATATTGTTTTGAAATAAAATGTTTAGGGATCCTATGTAATTTCATAAAGTTATGCATATATGTTTGTTTGTTTTGTTTTTTAAATATGATAAACTAGCATTAGTAAGTCACACTGATGAATCTCTTGCTATAACATTGTTGCCCCTGAGAGGAAAACATATGCTCATGGTATTTGAAACATAGGAACTAAAATTAGAGTGTCTTATAATTTTTTTTATGTTTGGTAATTGTCATTTTCATGCTACCAGAAATAATACATTGCAAAACATTATCATTTCCATTTTGATAATTACGATGGTTATTATTTTAGTTGTTTATTTAAGACTTTTACTATCCATGTGTTTGTCATCATTAACATAGAATTAATTGATAAACATAATTCAAAATGGATGCTTGAATCAATTAATTTAGCAACACATATGTGGGACTGAAATGATGCAAGTTCTTTGTAATTAAGTTGGGTGGAATGTTTGCTGTGATAAGAAAGCTAATTTCAACATGTAAAGCTTCAAGTCTCATATAGCATATAATAGAAAATGGTCTTATGCTCAAAACATAAAGAGCGTATGGGTTGCATCAAGAAAACAGATGTTTTTTACAGAAAAAAAGATGGTCAGTGGCAAAAGTTAAAGAGCATTATATTACTGACAAGATTAAACCATTAAGGAAAGAATTCTACCTCTTCACTCCTCTCTCTCTCTAAACAGTATTTGTACCATGCCTTTCCTACCTTGACCTTTTGTTTACACTTCATACTGCCCCCTTGGCAAACATATTAATTCATTTGAATTTTGCTACCACCTGTATGCCAAGACACCCAGATATCTTTCTTCCTCTGATCTCTCCCCCACTGTCCTACAATTTGTTACTGGTTATCTTCATTCTATTTATGGCTGGATGTCCCTCTGTTTCTGAAACTCAACCTCTCTAAACCTGAGCTTCTTATTTTTCCTCCTTATAATACTGATTCTCCTCTTTCACACTCCCTGCAAGTTGACTTTACCTGCATCAACCCATCCTCTCAAGCTCATTGTCTTGGTGTTTTCTTCAATTCTGGCTTAACCTTTGCACTTCACGTCTAGTCTGTTGCCAAAACATGTTAATTCCACCTTAGAAACATTGCATTGTCAGCCCCTTTCTTACTCAATGCTGCTAAGGAGCTTGTTCATGTT